ACACCCACACCCACACCCCGCCACACCAATACCCACACCCACGCCCACACCCACATCCACACCCACACCCACACCCACACCCACACCCACACCCACACCCACACCCTTGCATGGGTTCCCAATTGAAGATCTTTTGGAATCCCTGCAATCTCATGGAATTCATCATGATCTACAATATTCGAAGTACCACACATCGTTTTATGCCATGATATCCTTGGAATCCTTGCTATGCTCTGAAAATCCTCTCATGAGCATAGGGGTTCGAAGGAGGTCCAGAGTTGCATGGGTTCCCAATTCAGGATCTTTTGGAGACGTTCGAATCTGATAGAATTCATGATGATCTACAATATTCGAAATACCAGACGTTGTTTTATATCATGGTACCCTTGGAATCCTTGCTATCCTCTGAAAATCCTGTGATGAGCATAGGGGTTTTAAGGAGGTCGAGAGCTGTATGGATTCCCACTTAGGGATCTTTTGGAATCCGTCGAATCTGCTGGAATTCATCATGATCTACAATATTCGAAATGCCAGACTTTGTTTTGTATCATGGAATCCTTGGAGTCGGCGGGGAAAATGGAAGCTTTCCGTTTTGAGGGAAGTCAGCCAGGGGTCCGTGGTGTTTTTCTTGTTTCCGTTTTTATCTGTGTTTAAGGTTTCCTACTATAGAATGTGTGTGTTTTTTTTATGTAATTGTGGTTAGTTTGATTTATTCGTTATAATGTAATTAGAATACAGTGTGAATGATTTTTAGTTGTGTTATTTAATTAAATAATTAATTAGGTGACTCAGTTACGAAATTGTGAGTGTCATTTGCATGTTTTTCTGGTTCAATTTGGATTGGATCGTAGTTCGAATTTTTGGACTCGATGATTTCCGTTATCGACGACATAGAGATTCCCGTGTCGATCGAATGACAAACCGAAGGGTGCATTCAGTTGGTTTGATTGTCCTCCACTACCGTTTCCACCAACAAAGACACTTCCTTGTGTGGCTCCTTTAGGCCAACGCATGATTCGATCATTCCATCGATCAGCCACATAGACAGTGCCCAATTGATCGACAACGACTCCTTCCGGATATGACAATTGTGTAAGATCATTTCCTTGTCCTTGACCACCAGCCACGACAATGCCTTGTTTTGCACCTTCCATCCATTCCATCACACGATGGTTGTCCCAATCAGATATGTACACTGAATGATCTTGATTGACGAATACGTATGAGGGGGAAGAGAGTTGATCGAGACGATTTCCACTTCCATTGCCACCTGCAATCACTGTTCCTTGAGATTCTCCTCTTCGATATCGTCTCACTTCATGTTTTCCAACATCAGTGACATAGAGAGATCCATTCTCGTCCATTGTCAAACCCCAACAATAGATGTTGGAGATGATTGTTTCTCCACTTGTCCCATTTCGACGAGGCCATCGAACCACTCTTCCATTCAAATAATCGCATATGATGAGACTATCTCTCTCTTTGTCGATAATCACATCTTGTGGGTAAGACAATTGATGATCTCCATTTCCTTGTCCATTTCCACCGGCAATCACTTGGCCACTTGTTGCACCACGTTCCCATTCCACAATACGGTGATTTGATTGATCAGCGATATAGATTGTTTGGTCATCATCAACATACAAACCCCATGGGTTTGAGAGTTGATCGATTCCATTGCCTTGTCGATTTCCTCCAGCCACAGTGATACCATTTTGTTGCCATCGAACATTCGGATGAATGTTGTGCTGGATGGAGTACGTAATGGATAGTCTAAAATAGAGACACGAAAAATTATTAAAATAAGAGAGAAATTTTCTCTTCATAGAAATCGGATTTTGTTACAATACGAGAAACTTTTTTTAGTCAAACTCTCAACTTTGTCAATAATGATTATTTTGTTTTACAATATTTTGTGTGTTTATGTTTACGATGAAAGACATGTGGGATGTTCGGAGACTGTGATAAGTGTGGGTTTTCTTCTAGGATTTTACAACTAATTTATGTATAAAAATCACATAATGATTAACTAGTTTTCTGATAACTCATAATCTCTTTCTTAGAATTACTTTTGGGAGCATGTCTTTCTTAAGTTAGTTTTTAATCAGTTCAATCTTTTAATTAGTAAATAAGATTACAAGAATTACTTTGCATAGTTTGTCTTTTTCATGACAAAATCATTAATTGAACAATCTCAAGGTAAACATTAATGCAAAATATCAAACTTTCTGCAATCTTCAACCATAACTCTATGAAAAACATGACATATTTCTTGTTGTGATTGTTTTTGAATTATCTCCTCAAATGATAAGAGCAAGAAACATGTAACGTGCGTCAGTGTGACTCGCTTTATCCTCGACTAAATATTCGGCTCGTTCGCTATTTTATACTTCTTTGCAGCTCTCAACAAAGCTATTATCCAACATTTGAAAAAGCGTATGTGTGGATGCTGGTACTAGTATCAAGCTCATTGTGCATGATGGTATGCCTGTCTATGTGGGAATTTTTGTCATAAATTCGTCTCATCAAACTGATACCCACATATCGATTCTCAACAGAAATCTAAATGAACTACACACGCAGCAGCAGTAACCACACACACTAGAAAAAAGAGATTATATTCAATTTACTGAAAGGATCACGAAGCAACACTCATCCGTGACACAAGAGTGAAAACACTTCATACTCCTTGAAAATTCTGCTAAAAGTCCTTATGGTTACTAGCATATCAACTGACACTGTCGTTTGCCAGAGCGCCCACTACAAAAACATGAGTTCAGCTGAACTTCTAGCTCCAAATAAATTATACTAGATCTGATATGTAATCGGAATGTGTCACATTAGTGACGCTCCTATTGAAGGTATCCATCAAATTAGACAGCTAATTTGAATATACTTGAATACATTCGAGCACGTGAATGAACACAGACAAGGACATATATCAAACAGAAAAATTCATTTTATTTCATTCAATTTTGCTTCCGATAGAGTGAATATAAACTCTTTGAGTGATGCTTTCCGTTCAATGTACTTTTCAAATATTATGCCCGTACAGAAAAACTATACTCATACTTTATTTGAAAATATTTCTTAATTTTTTGCCACTTCTAATCTCTACTCAAACCCATCAGATGTACACTTTTGACATTTTTCCAATGAATCCTAACAACTTGACGGGTTTCTTCAAAGAATTGTCAAGGGCAGCGACTAGTCACTGGTCGGTTATCCACTGCTATGTTTAATTCTATTCCTCTATCAGACCATCCTTTTTTTGGTTTTACACTCCATCTGATCCCAGACTGTGCTTACTTAGAAAAATCATTAGATTTGTAGTACAAGAATTTCTAAAGCGAAGTGTTCTTGTGAACTATTCTTTATTTCTTAAATTTTATTGTCTAGCTGGAAAATTAGAGTTTTATTGGAATTGCTCATCAATGAAAAACCTTAGTGTAGTATTCTCAAAAAAAGTCTACTTTTGAGACAGATATTTGTTAAAGTGAATCCCCAGTGCACTTAAGCAATGGGTTGTTTGTTATCTATTTAACATAAAACAAGAGATGATCTCATTTATACATACAGTATAATCTCTCTATAGTGGACACCCAAGGGACTTTTTCAAAGTATCCACTATACAGAGGTGTCCACTTAAGAGAGGTTTTCGATTTCTTTCGCTTCAAAGTGATCACTATCGTTACTATAGTGGATTCCACTCCTTTCTCAAGTTCGTTCGCATGGAGGTATGTGTTCAGATAAACTTCTCTTATAATTTATTGAAATCTATTTAATTTTATTAATTCTTGTTGGATAGGTGAATGTGTGTTCAATTTAGTAATTTGCTGTCCTTTTATATTATCATCTGGCCTGTTCTTTTTTTGCCTAGTCTATTCTCTTTTTACCCTGTCTGTTTCGTTTCTTCCTAGTCTATTTTCTTTCCATTGTCTTTGTATTGCAGTGTACGTCGCTTATTGATTTCATTAGCGCCTTGTCACATGCACAATTCTGTCTAGACGAAGATAATGCGACGAACTTAATAGACTGTCCACTATGAAGAGGTTATTCACTGCAATGGGACCAGATAAAAGTGTCCACAGTCCAGAATACGGAGGTGTCCACATTCGGGAGGTTCATTTCTAGCAAAAAAGGCTCGGTAGGACCGAGAGGTGTCCACAATAGGGAGATGTCCACTTTAGAGAGGTGTCCACTAACAGAGGTTTTACTGTATATATCTTTTTATATTACTTTCTTCAAGTTATAGCGGTTAGACATTTCACGAGTTGGAACTCTTCAAAACAAAAAATATATGAATAATTGAATACTTCGCCAGAAAGCAAAGATAACGCAGAGTAGACTTACATACCGATCATGTTGGATTGACTAAAACTATGCTCTGAGTTTGAGAAGTACCTGTTTGTTTGGATACGAATACGAATGGGACAAGGAGAAATCGACTGATTTAAATTACTGTAACTCAGTGTAAATCATTTAAGATC